AGCGCGGGCGTGCTGGCCACCTGCCGCCTCGCCTCCTGTCACTTCACCGGCCTGGATAGTCCACATAGCATCCTATATTTACATTGTAAGTTATTCCAATACCAATGAAAACAATAATAAAACTTAAAAAATCTATTTTGCCAAATATTTTGGACAAATTAAGACTTAAATTATTTTTATTGCTTTCTTTAGTGGTGAATCTGCTGGGTTTCTTCTGGACGATGTTCTTCATCAGCGGCGTAGCGGATATGATGCTTGCGAGCACCTTCTCCACCTGGTACTGGACCATGCATAAGAAGAATCTGCCCTTCTTCACGCTCACTGCTGGCGTGTATCGGACGTTGCGGTACATTTATGCTTAAACCATACTGTCTAAAATTATATTCACATCTTTTACCATTTCTTTTGAAGCGTCTGAATAAAGTTCGGACCTTATATGTACCTCAATTTGATAACCTGGCTTCTAAAACTTAATAACTTCTAACAAACATCCATTCGCCTTTATAATATTACTAGCTGTCTCCTGCGACTTCGTCCGCGCGGAATTAAACAAAAACAAGTAGCCTATGTGTTGTTCCAGGCTATGTTCTATATGTATGCCAAGTTTCGTTGAGATCCGTTCAGCCATTCTGGAGATACCTTCAAACATCCATCCATCTAAACATTCGCATTTATAATATTAGTAAGATTTAATAAGAAGTATATAATATTCTTCTTTTATTTCCAGATATCACCTGGGCACTGTAGCTCTTGGTTCACTCATCATAGCTATAGTCAGAGTAATACGAGTTATTCTGGAGTACATAGATCATAAAATAAAAAAGTTCGACAACGCGTTCACTCGCTGCATTTTGTGTTTCTGTAAATGTTTCTTCTGGTGCTTGGAGAACTTCCTCAAGTTCATTAACAAGAACGCGTACATAATGTGCGCGGTGCACGGCAAGAACTTCTGCTCTAGCGCTAGAGATGCCTTCTCTTTGCTCATGAGGAACATCGTCAGAGTTGTCGTACTTGATAAGGTAAATATAACAAGCAATAAGCATTTTAATTTCATTCTTTAACAAAATATTAGTCAATAATTAAAGTCGAATGGCAGATTCGATAGTCTGTCCTTGTCTTTCTTAATTCGGTACTATACGATAGCATTTGAATTAGATTGAATGCTACATTTTTAACAGCAATTACGCAAATTATTGTACAACCAATTCTTTTTATATAATTCTAAAGTATACGCTTATATGTGTTTTTAAATAAAAAAAATATGAATTGTTGTCTTATAGTTAATTAACTGTCGCCCACGACTCCATCCGCGCGTAATTAATAAAAATCTTAATTAGTCGCCTATATCTTCTGCCAAACTAAGTTCTACATCTATACCAAATTTTAGCAAGATCCATGTAGTCGTTCTGGAGATACGTTAAAACAAACATCCATCCATCCATCAATACATTCGCATTTATAATATTAGTAAGATTTTGTATTATAGTATAAAAATGTTTGTATTCCAGGTGACAGATTTTATATTCTTCCTATCAAAGCTACTGATATCGATCGGCGTGGGTTTCGCGGTGTACTACTTGCTGCAGGTGAACTACCTGTACGAGGTGACGCGCGGCGAGCGGCTGCACCACAACTACATCCCAGCTGTCATACTCAGTGTTGCCACATACCTCATCTGCACCATATTCTTTAATGTTTACTCTATGGCTGTGGACACATTGTTCCTTTGCTTTTGTAAGTACTCCATACCCTTTCGTATGTTAACTGTCAAAATGTCAAAATCAGCCCATCTGTGAGTCCCAAAATACAGGACGCTCTCACAGACAGGAGTCTCCCTGTCTGTGGAGAGTCCTAGAATAGGACGATTAAATATTACTTACGGTTCCGATTTTCCTAAGTGCAAAAGAGTAAACACTATATGCCCCGCAAAATACGCGCAAAACTAAACACTATCAACACAGTGTGTCATCGTCCCGAAACAGGATGCCCCACAGACAAGAAAATCCTCCTGTGTATGTGAAGGGTGTCCCAATTTGGGACGCTTCACACACAAGAGGATACTTACCTTCACATACTGTCAAATTGCAAAGCTCTTAATTTTTTTTTTTTCAGTGGAAGATTGCGAAAGAAACGATGGCTCAGCTGAGAAACCTTACGCTATGTCTAAAAACCTTATGAAAATACTTGGAAAGAGAAATAAGATTGAGTAGTAGTTTAGATACTAGTAAGTGCCAAATATAAAAAAAAGTGTTGTGACTTTCTTGTGATCTTGTCATGCTGGCTATCTTTTTAACCTGTTTAATTTTTGGTATACTCTGTGTTCATTGTAAAATTTAAAGTATTACTATTCTTCGTATTATTAAGTCTAGTTAAAACTCCTATTGTAATATTTTATTTTATGTTAATTTTAAAATGGTTACATAAGTTCTGTCCGTTCCTTGATGCATTTTAATTTGTTATAAATCTATGTAATTTTTGAATCACAGCATATGAATGAATGTTTATAATCTATAGAACTATAGCAACGCTAGACGGCAGATAATTCTCCACTGTTTAAAATAAGTTATTTTGTATGGAATCATTAATATAAGTTGTTCATATTTTATATAACACATTATGAATGTGATGTTCGCAATTTTCGATTGAAATTTTTGAATTATTGTATTTTTACTTTTTAAATTCTACAATTACAATTTATTACATTTATAAAGACATTTATGAAAATAAACATTTGTTTAATTATATATGCAACAACTCAACATACCACTTCTTTTGGTATGCTTTGATTTTTAAACTATCAACGAGTCACATTGCGTATTCTCGTATTATCAAAACTAGAGGTCGCTTAATAGTCGTTTTTATTTATGAGTAAAATTGTTTTAGGTTTATACATTTACTTCGACAAATTTACTTTTTTCTGATCGCGCAATTTCCTTAAAAAAAAATTAAATTCCGAAAAAAAAAGAAATAACCTTGTTAATTTGTTTATTCAGTCGTTACATAATTTAATCTGTGCTGTGTTAAAAATGCGATATCCAGCATTGCCTCTGGATCTAACATTTCCTTTGCAGTCTCGTACTTGAGACTCTCTTCATATGCCATCAGTATACTTGTGTCATCCAACATCATCTTGGATGCAACCAAAGCGGCAATACAGTTCTTCACTCTTGCCATAATCTCTCTGATAGAGATGCTAACAGGCTAAAACAATAAACAAAGACTATGAAAATATTCTCTCTGGTAAGAGCAGAAAGATTGATTTTGTTGACAATTGAAGTTGTAATAAGTAATTTGTTCAAATTAAACGAAATCATAACCAAATGAAATTATACGAAATTTAAACGAAAAATGTTGTCTGCATTGTTTATGAATTTAATAATAGTAATATAGTTTTTATGCAAAATACTTCATAACTTAAATCATTTAAACTTTCATAAGACATTTTAATAAACTGATATAAAAACGGCTAAACACTTATATATATGTCCGGTGGCGGCACCAACTAGTTTCGATTATTTCGCGAACGCGGGGGTGATGCCGCGACAGAATATATGTGACTGTTTAGCCGTTTCTATATAAACTTCATGATTTGTATAAAATCTGTCATTTTTTTAACATTATTGAAAGATTTCGGAAAGTGTTACCTCTAATTTAGCTTTCTCAATATTTTCAAGATCATCATTTTCTGTAGACTCTTTCTCACGTGGAGATATCCATATGTAGCCGTTATTACCAATAATTATTGAAATTCCGAGAATATTGTGAAAGTGATTTTTCCTCCGTTTAATCAAAGATGGAAATACTTTCACTAGTGTGCCTTGGACTAGCTGGAAGGAAAATCATGCTTTGTATGATACAGTGTGTACAAATTGAGATTTAGTTAACTCAACATATTGAACAGTTTAACAACCACATGTTAGTATGCGTGTATTAATGTAGAACATATGTTTATTGTTTTATTTCTATAAGTTTTATTTCATTTAACTTGCTGGTAATGATTTACCTATTTACCTTGCCATACTTCAGACTTCTTGTATGCAGAGAGAGTGAGCCATCGGAAAACACACTCTGTACTTCAGCACTAATCAGGTCACCTTCTTGTAATACCTTCCTCATGGACTGTTCATCTTCAACAGACCTGCGACGCTATATAAAATAGAAATAAAATAGAATAAGAATAATCATTAAATAACCATTCATATAAGCTTACCAAGATCTTATGAACACTTCAATCGTAAATGCAATACATATATTACATGAAACATTGAAACATACCAATTCGCCTCCAGGAAGATTGACCGAAGATAACTGAAGTATCGAGTCTAAACGTGAATTAGTATCCACTTTCCAGCGTCGCTGCTGCACTTCCAAGACACGACCAACAACAACATCTCCAATTTCCCCCACGTATCGACTTTTTAGTGGCCTAATGCATATCAATTTGTTAACTTTTTGCATAACACCAGCCACTGACGACTTTAGGTTGTCATCTTCTGTATAAGTCCCATGGCCCCTGTAAAATGAATTATAAGTTGCATCAATAATGCAATATAGTAGTTATAACCTTTTATTTTGAAGTTTTATAATGTTAATGATTCTTACCGCATAAAGTCCTGCATACCGGATATAACTTCCCCCGGCGTATAAAAGCGAGGCAATTCATTACTAGTAGCAACGCTATGGTTTACTCGTTCTGATGCTAATCTTATAGAAACGTGGCCAGTCATATTGTTTTTTAATATAATCGGAATTACAACCGCTCTTTTGCTATCTTTGTGGATTAAATATTCTATTCGCAAGTAACAAAAGCACTATTTTGAAACTAAATAATAAAGCATTGACACATTGACATTTGCTTTTGACATCTGTCTTGCTTCAAGCAGAGAAAAACAGTCAGAAAAAAAATTGACGTACAGTTTTAATATACTCTGTGCGTTGAGGAGATTTTTTATCTACGAAAAATGACACATACTCTGTGTTGTCAAAACTCAAATGTCAATTTGGCAAATGTTGACAAATATAAAACGGATTTTCGGAGTTGCGATTTTGCATTTTGCTACTTTTGTTATAAATAGAATAATTTAAACTAATGTAAATCTTACCGTTATTTCTGTGGAATGGAAGTACATTCAAACCGATTCTTTTAAATGTCAATTGCTTAAGGAATTAAATAAACATGTCTGCTGCAAATTTAGCGCCCATAACTGCAACCGACAGCCTTTCACAGGCCCTTAAAGCTAATATTATACCTAATCAGGAATACCTGTTACAGGTAATTGTATAATTTTAATGAGATTGCGATTAGATAGTTTCTTTTACATAAATTTAAAAAATGGTATATCCAACAGGGTTCTGTATTAGATTCTGCAGTAGAAGTTCTGCTACATCGTCTTCGCGGGCTCTGTGACAACGTAGATGCTGGAACTGAAACTTTTGATGATCAGGAAGTTTGCTTTAGTTTACGAGATCCAAACCAACAGGTAAAAAAGGGTTTACATGTCAATATAAATATAAACTTAATTTCCCTTGTTTTTGTAATGTTTGAAACATTATTTTTAGGCGGCACCCCTTATGTTACGCGTAAGAAAAGCTCTTGATGCACGAGACATGCCTTTTCAACTAAGGTACATTGGTCAACCAGACCTAGGAGATAAGAGCAGACCAACTGTTGTCCGCTCAAGTCTTGACATTGCCTGTAGTGGTATGCTAATTGAGTTTCTCAATGAACTTGGATGTAGGATTGAATTTGAATATAGTGTTAAAGGTAAGATCCTTATTAAAACTTTTCTGATTATGTAAAATAAGACTAGAATATAATGAATTTCTCAGATGGAATATTAAATTGTGATATTAAAAAATTTCAGGTTATATGTTTAGAAAAGGTCGCATGAAGATTACAGTGTCAAAGGTGTTCAAAATATCACAAAGCTCAATGTCTCCGGAGCCAATCTCACAAAGTTACTTAGTTGAATTATCAGTAAGTATAATTTATGTACTTTAATTTAAATTAGTATGTTTTAAGGTCAAAGCGCGTCTAACGAAGTTTGTGCATGCTTGTTATTGGCATACATATGTAAAATGTTTGTGTGATTTTTGTTTTTCTGCTATTTTATAAGTATGCTGTTGGCCTGTCTTAATAAATAAATAAATAAAGTCAAAATAAAATTAGAACTGTAAAAAAATCTTAGTGCAGACAAGAAGTTAATTTATTCTGAAACAAACCTTATAAAGTTTATTCAAAATATTAAAGATTAGCTGTGTATAAAAAAATCTTTCTTGTAGACTGTTATATTGATAGTAGTAGTAGTCGCTCTGGAGATACATTCAAACAAACATCAATCCATCCGCTAAACTGTCGCATTTATAATATTACTAAGATAATTGTAATGTATTTCAGGTATTGGCTCCACAAGGTCAAGATGCTATTGGTGAGGATATGCGAGCGTTCGCAGATCAGTTAAGGCCACTTGTGCAACTTGACAAGATAGACTACAAACGTCTCGGCCATATGTCCTAGCAGATGTACCTGCTTTAAGCTGTTAATAACCTTAAAACATTAACTGTGAATTTCAAATGTGATGCTTATGTGATGTATAACAGTAAAAACTCAATATAACAACCTTTTTTCAAACATTACAGCAATTAAAGTGTAGTAAAGTGCAGTATAGTGTTCAAAAACTGACTCTAAATTAATTAAAGCTTTCACTTCGAAAAACCTGTATATTATATGTAATAAAGCAAACATTTTTATACAATTTTTATTATATTATTTGGCAAAGGCATAGATATGTATTACTATATGAGTGAAAATAAATTTGAGACATTGTCTTAACCTAAAACTGTCAAATTAGTCAACAAAGTCTGGATTCTTCTTTGAACCTTTTATGATAAAGTGATCCTCTCCATAATCCTTGTCTTCGTTCTTGAAACCGTGAACGTATGCGAAGTTCCCAAAGTACAGGCATTTGTTGTAGTTCATTGTTATAAATTCTGTCAATAAATTAATTTTGATTAAAACTTTAATATCCCCAAATTAACTTTTGGTTTAGGTAAGTTTAATTTTTACTTCAACCCGCACAACCATTCCAAATCAAACCTAATTATATATAATACTATTACATATGTTTTATAATTCGCGGTGACGGTGGGTACAAAAATATTTTGGTGTACAAGTGGGTAGTTTAAAAATCCTCGCTTGTTCGACGCATTTGTACGGTAAGGGCAGTCGGTCGCGGTCGCTAGGTACCTTTCATTTATTCATGTTACGGTTTTGTTGTAAGAAAGGTAAAGGTTAGCACGGTAAAAGGCTTAGTTCACATATTGACCTTAACTTGTGTGTGATCAGGAATCTGTGCCACAAGTGGTGAACGAGACATTGAGGTGGTAAGTCATCTTTATTTATTTATTAAAAAAGGACTAGAATTAAAAAAAAAACCTATTCAGTAGCCGACGTGCTCTTTCAGACTGTGTTCTATATTTATGAGGAATTTCAGCAAGATCTATTCAACCAGTCTGGAGATACCTTCAAACATACATGCATCCATTCATCTATACATGCGCATTTCTAATACTACTATGATTTTTGTTTATGCAACATTTTCCGTTGACTTTCGAACGCGTAAAAGAGGATTTTTAATAACACAATGCCATTCCATCTTTAATCAATCACTTAATTAGTTAATTATAATATAATATATGTAAGTCCGCATACGAGCTAGTATACTTATCTATTTTATGTTCAAATGTATATAATTAACCTGTGCCCTCGAAACAATTATAGAGATCCATTATGCAGTGGTTGTCGAAGATGTATGTAGAGTTATCTTGCATATTAAATCCGCAAGTCTTCTGGTAATATGTAGGGCACAATCCGCATCTGAAAATACCAAAATAATATGTATATACAAGCTGTCGCCCGCAGCTCCGTCAGCGCAGCGCAGCCTATTGTTCTTGCTACATCCGTCGAACGATACGATCCGTTGAAATTTTCTGGAGAAAAATGCTAACAAACATCTAACTTTAATAAGAGTAAGATAATTTACGTTCGAAACTGTAGTTCGGATTTCAATGTAATATGATTATGTATGACCCACCTATTAGTCGGGAAAATATATTTTTAAGCACAACATACAAATATTTATAAGTTTACCTATGACCATCGGGAGCGGGATTTTTCTTATACACGAGGGGCCTGTCGTATTCGTAATTGCATAAGGCGCAGGTCGCTGCAAAGAAAATATGCTTCTTGTGACATATGGCATGTTTTTATTTGGCTAAATAATCAGTAGTTCTCTTCTGAAAGTAAACTTTGAATAGTTTTATTTACATACCTAGACTCACTAAAATAAGTATAGACTCCTTCATTTCACGAGGCTTGTCATATGCTGAGGCATAATCCGATAATAATTTTTAATAACTTTCCTTATCATTTAATTGAATTGATTTACAGCATAATAATAATTTCAAATTTAATAGAAAATGAAAATACTCAAACAATTTATGTTAAAGACGTATTGGTTATAACTTTTATAAAAGTGTAAAATTTTAAATAACAGACAATATCCTCAAAACGTTAAACGTTGTACAAGTGGCACAGAACAGGAGAATGATCGCAAAAAGCGATGATCGATGGAGCCAAGGGAATAAGAACAATTCTGTACCAGGAATTTTGTTTTGGTTGGTCGAGTCAAAAATTAAAACTTTTAGCTAAATATTAAAAGTAACATAGTAAAGCGACATTTTCTCAGCTTCTAAGCAATGATTACGACTAAAATTGTCCGCTAAGATTTACCTAGAGTACGGAGAAATCAAACACATTGCACATCTAACAACAGTTCCTGGTTATAAATTTCGAATGAAGTAACAAAGAAATCTAAAATTCCGGTAATGCGTAAGGAAAAGCGACAGCTTAGGAAAAGAATGGCGACGTGACAGGCATCAGGCATCGCGATGACTCATCGTAGTTCCTTCTGTTTTCGTTTTGTAATATATAACTTGCGATAATTATTTTAATGAGTACACAATCCGCAACCGCGACCCTCTCTTGATAACCTTATATACGAAGTCCTTTTATCGTGAATTTAGTTACGTACGTTATTATAAATAAAGAGCTCAGTGCAGTTATATTATATTATAACTTATAATCTAAAAGAAAATAGACACATTTAAACCTATAAAAGTAATTTACAATGATCGAACATAATTAAAATTAAAATGCAATCTCCTTTCGTTTTGGTATTGTAGATAAATCTAATTTACTAATAATCTGTTCGTCACGAGCATTCAGTAAGAGACAAATATAATAAATTAACACATACTTAGGGGCTTACGGCTAAGTGTAAACGTAGGCATTGGGCGCAATATATCATTGTTTATTGTGGTAAGGCATCATGATTCACTGTGCGTACACATGGAGCGCGGCCGCGGCGCGTAGGCCGCTAGTGGCGTGGGTCGGCTCGGCGCTGCGATAGCTGAATAAAGCCTCTACCACACGAGCGTATCTTTTAATAAATTATATTATCTGCGCAATATATAAGAAGAAATCACATTTTATATTAATACATGATTTAAAAATGCTAATTAATGTTTATCGCCAGTGTAAAAGTAATTTCTTTATTTCAAAACAACCTTTACAACAATCGGTCTCTAACTAATTATAACGGCATTCTTTATATTTTATCTATTTTAATTTAATCTTTTCTTGTCATATCGCACACAATAATAAAAACTTTCCATGTGGTTAAAGTATCGCCCATCTGGATTTGACTTAAGACCGTGATGGTACGGAGTGCGGGGCGCGGGGCGGGCCGGCGGCGGCAGACTCGGCGGCGCTGCGTGGCCGCGCCCGCTCACCTTGACGCTCACATAGCTAACAAAACCCTCAAATCATACCTAATGAACTATCTTAACCCCTCCTACCTGTACAGATTGGTATTAGGCTATTTCTTAGGGACTTCAATAATTTTGTTAATAAAATGATAAAAATGTTAAAATGTTTTCCCGTGCTGTCGATTCATAGGCGGAACAGAATAGAAAAAAACAGGATTTCTAGTCATCAGCAGTTGCAGAATTAGTATTATCGGAACCATAAATGCATTGACTTTCCAAAAAATACCGTAAAATTAAGCGAAATTTTTTCAATGTAGACCATTTCGCAAACCCTGTAACACAACATAATGGACCAAATAAAGAACAACAAGAGTATTTTTAGTGTGAACTGTCACCTTTATAACGAGTATATACATGTAAAACTGTATAAACATTACTATTCGAGATGTCGATCACTATATTATACAGAATACCTATAATAAAGTATTTCTTTTTCCCCAATCTATAACATTTTTTTCCTTTAACTATCCGACTTATTTCTAACTCAATCCGTTTACTTATTTTAATACTCGTTCGCGCATAGTTCGATACAACTAAGTAAATGAGATTAAACTGATATCCGCTCTAATTCTGTTTAAAATCCGTTTGAAATGTAACCACATAATATAGTTACGAAGAATTCATTCCTTGAATGTTTTATTTATCCATTAAATTACACTGAACTGATTTTGTTAATTATTCTTTCATTAGAATAAAAAATGTCCTCGTATTTCTAAGAAACTTAAACAATGCACTTCGGCGTCCAACAAAAACATAGCAAGTTATTCACATCTCAAGACTGTTTGATCAATAAAAAATAGGGTACCTATGCTTACTCGGTCATAGTGTCACCATTACTATTTTCGTCAGTAATCTATATTCTCAACCGTTGTTTGCACTTATGTATGAGGTAAGATTATGATTTATATTTGCGATTAAGATAATGTATGTAATGTCTGTCAGTGTACAAAAAGATTATTAACGAGTGAGTCGAAGGCTATGTGGCTCAAATTACGTCGCCCCTTCGGCCGCCACACCGCAACGCAGTCAAACGACCAGCTACTGTCATTCGAATGAATAAACATCGGTGCAAGTATGTTGTTATCACTAAATAGTTTTACATGTAACGTGTAAAAGGTAATAGTTATTTTTCTTAACTTTATTAGACACTAGCACGTGCCAACGACTTCGTCCGCGCCGTATTAAAATATCATATACAATCAAAAAAACTATAACACTCGGGTTTAGTGTAGTTTCCTTAACAGTAAAAGTTTTCAAATCGGTTCAGTAATTTCGGAGCCTGTTTAATGCAAACGAACTATCAAATTATTCCTCTTTATAATAGTAGTATAGAAAAAGTGACACAAGAGTCATCTTTTCTACATTATTCTCTGTAAAACTCATCTCTTTCATATTCTTCTTTTCTATAAGATCCAATAGACATTTGTAACCAATCGTCCATTATAGTTCAAGTAGATTTAGTTATAGTATCGTTAATATATAATAGAAATTTGCTATAAGTGTACACTTGTAAATAACTATATGTTAATTATCTTGTGTCTATTATTGTCACTTTCTAACTGTAAGTCTACCATGTAAATAAATAAATAAATAAATAGAAATTGAGATTTACAATTTATAATACGACTTGAAAAAAGCTCCATTAATAACACTTTTCGACTCCTTTGTACTAGAGACAGTTACATAAATATAATAGAATAATGAATATCTCAAAGAAATGTTTGCGCGAAACTTCCTGCCTCGCACAGCAGCGTTGTGGAGTGGTCTGGCCTCAGCGGTATTTCCAATCCGCTACGACTTAGGGTCCTTCAAGAAACGAGCTTATCACCACCGCAAAGGCCGGCAACGCATCTGCGGTTACTCTGGTATTGCTGATGTCCATGGGCGTCGTTGAACACCTCGGTGTTCCCGCTGCTCGTTTGCCTCCTTCTGTTATAAAAAAAAAAATATACGTCATAATATGTACACCTTATTTTGTATTTTTATGAAAATTAAATAATATATATGTTGGTAACATGTGAATGTCACTCAAATTGTAATTTGTTCTGATCGTGACTTCGGATTATGCAAAATAAGCAAATTAGGTTCAAGGATTTGTTAATCAAATGCACAATATGACAAATCACCTTTATATTGTAGCACTAAGTCAAAATGTAGCATTTAACCATCAACATACTAAATGACTATGACCTTTTTGTTTCATCTATTTATATATTTTCATTGCTTTTTATACGTAGCGGAAAAGGTATAATTATATTTTAATTTATTGAAATATAATGTATGAATTTGTTCATTAATAATACGTTGCGGCAGAATATCAATATCCTTTTGTGGTTATGATCATGTTTAGAGGTGACCTCTGGCAATTTATAAACTTTGTCGGTAGGTACCTATAATATCGTAAGTAATTTACTAAATGGCAAAACTAATTGTGTCGACGTTCGAAAGCGCGTCGTTGCTGGCGCGTTGATTCTTTAAATATCTATTAGTTATTCAGGAGAAACCTAGGCTCGTTGGTAATTTATTCAGTGAATTAAACGCGTGTCCGTATAAATAAGACCTACCTCGCTAGCCATTGCACACCACGGCGTAAAACGCGTTCACCGATAAACTATCTATCTACACACACATGCATTCAACAGATCTAATGCAGTACAAATACAGAGTAGGTAAGTAATAAAGTACATCGCATATGTAGTCTACGATAATACTGTTTATTTCCTTTGTTTCCATTGATTAATCATAAACCACATGATTGGGTTAGATATTCTATTCATAATTTTTTTCCCCAAAGATTTATAGTGTGGGTTCCTTCCATATTTACTAAAGATATTTATTTATCTATTACAATAGAATTGTAACAGATAAATGTTCTGTTTTGCGGCCAAATTGAGACATATACGGCGCTTAGATTATAAAGAATTAATATAATTAATAAACTCCATGTTATACAATAACTTGGGTGCAAAGAATAGGCTATGAAAATATTTTACATAATAAGTACAATGAAATATTTTTTCAACAAAGGGAACATAATGAAACTCTTGAAATAGTGATACTTTGTCGGCGGTCGGCGCATCTACTCTCGATGCTCACAAAATGTTCATGTGTGCGTCTCTATATCAGTGGTTTCATTTTCTGAGAAACGGCGCGGACGCATCGGTGCGCGGGCGCAGGGGCGCGGCTCGGCGTCAAGCCCGTAATATAATCTGGCGGGTGGAAGAGGCGGGGCGCGGCGGGCAGGGAGGCCCGGGCGCCGGCTTTGCCAGACCAGACATTTTGTCGCTGCATTAGCTACATCGTTGTTTTATATTAAACTTCTAATAACATCAATATAGCAAACTAAATACCTATATAAGTCAAGAAAACGTCTTGTTATATATTTTAATATTTTTCCTTTTCGTTATTACACAAGTTACACTTAACAATATTATGCGAAAAACAAAAGCTCTTCGTCACTACTTAAAGCTGATTTCCTTGTTTTTAGCTAGTAAGCTGAAAATAGGTTTTTTACGGGTCTCTCGCTATTAG